ATTCTTCATCAATATACCTTCAAAAACAAAAGTAGACCCTAAATTTCCTGTTGAGGTTTTCGTGTCTTGATTATCACTTTTATTTTTATTATTTACTTTTATGGACTGGTTCGCTAATTGATTATTTTCTTTATCCCAATAATTTCGATAACTTTTAATAAAGTCATCTATTTCAGAATCAGTTTTAACGTTTTGTACCCATGGATTTTCTGCGTCAGTAGCTGTGGATTGCACAGGTGAATCATCAATTTCATTCTCTTCTTCACTATCATTTATTTCTCTTGACTTCTGAGTTAATTCACGGCCAATTGATAATTGTTGTGCCAGTTCTTGTTGAGTCTAACAAACAAAGGGTATTGTTTATTATGTATAAATTTATACTTTGTACACATAAAAGTATATATCTTTAAAATAAATGACTTTCATTACAACAAAAAAAGTATAAACAGTGTGTTAAAAGCTGGAATTCAAACCTTTTCTTACAGTAAAAAAATGTTCAAATGTTTTCCAGCTTTTTAAATATAAGACGTGAATATTGCTTTCACACTAGTAATTACTCCATTATTTGGAAGACATTTAAAGAAAAATATGACAATAAACGGAAAAGATAAAACAGTAACAAAATAACTAACGATTGAATAATGAACCATAATTTAAAAAGCACTTGCAAATTATTAGTGTAAAACAGCTCTTACTTCTTTATCATATTTTGCACGAATTTGTTTAGATTGTGCCCATTTTCCTGTACTTTTGTGTCTTAAAGACATTCTTTCTTCTGCTCGAATCCTATCCAATTGTTCTAGCTTTTCCAGAGCAGCTTCTGGATTAGTTTTTTTTAATTCATCGAATTCTTTCAATTGCAACTTAACTTTTTCTTTCCTTTGAACACGATGAAACTTCTTACTCTTAATTTTATTTTGTCGACGAGACTTAGCTTCTCTATAAGACTAGAAACAAAAAAAGTTAAAAAAAAATTAATGAACAATAACTTTAAACTAATGTTTCAATACTAACCTGTTGTGCTCTAATTTTTGCAGCCTCCTTCCGTTTCATAATAATTTCATTCATTGTCAATGAGAAATCATCATTAGTTTCCTTGATATTTTCTTTTTGTGGTTCTAATGCAGCAAGTTCTTTTTCTAAATCTGATTGAATTCTAAACCTCTTAACAAATTGATTAGACGGTTCTAATCGCACAGATGGATTGTTTAGAGGAAAATGTAGGGACTCTGCTGCTCTGTTTTTTGTTATCACAGCATTCCATTTTTTTAATTCTTTTTTTGTATTTTCAAACCCAACTACTCTTTTTATCTAAAAAATAATTAGTACATATATTTTCATAGAAATTTTTTAAGTTTTATATACAACTATGTTAAAATTATATTTAAAAAATTACTCTTTCTGCAGCAGGCTTTTCTAAAGGTTTTTCTAAAATATTTATTTTCTTTCTTGTAGATTCTAGATTTCTAACAATCTCTAAATGGTGACTTTTTTTGCCTAATGCTTTTGCCAAATCCTTTACAATTACTGCATCTGAATCTGACACTCCACTCTTTACCAAATGGAATTCTGATACTTCCAAAGTGGGTTCACTTCTTTCTGCCTTTTTTACTCTAAAAAAATTAGTTTTGTTTCAGAGAAGTGCATAAAAATCTATCACTAAATTTTGTACAAATACTTTATTAATTAGAAATATAAAATATATGTTATATTATATATATGTCTAAGGTTTTAATTTGCATATAATCTTGAATAAGGACCCATTTAGACTATGAAAGTTGTTGTCGAATAGTTGATGATAACTATATAGCATAATATTAATAACTATTGTCACAATAATATTTCTTTGCAAGCATCAAAATAATATTAAAAATGACAATTAGCTGAATATTGTGACTACTTTTGAACAAATATAATATTTTTGCAAAAATTTAACCATCAAATGGAAGAAAGCAAAGAGAAGAATCAATTTATGTTTTACCTATTATTTCCAATATAAAATTCGTATAATAATTTATTTCATATAATGAAAATAAAATAGGATTTCATTCATTTAAAAGTAAAAAATTCAAAAATTCAAAATTAAAAGTAAAAAGTATATAGTTACGATGCAAAAATTTAATAAAAAAATTTAATAAGGCTTTAAACAGACAAATGTTTTTAAAAAATACAAGATTTTAAACGTGTATTTTAATCAATTTTGTACAATCTCATAAACATTTAATTCAGAAAAAGTTTATGGTCAGGTATTTAGAGAGAAAGGTTATGTATAAATTTTCATGTACTATAATTTAGCTTACCTTTGACCCTTATCAAGCTGTGAAACAGCTTCAAGTAGTTTAGAATGAGATTCCGATACATTTTGTTCTGTATCGTCTAAAAATTCTGAATCACTCATTATTTTTTTATGTTTAAAACACTTGTCGTTAAACACGATGACAATTTACTCATTAAAAAGTAAAGATTATACAGATATGTAACTATACCAAATGTACACCGCCTACTATAGCGCCACGGTATTATATTAAAAGGAAATGAAACCTAAAGTAAATAAATAAAATAAATAAATAAGACTTTTCTAGTATAATTGTATTTGCATAATGAAAATCTGTGGAGACATTTGTTTAAGTAAGTACATTTAACTATTGGTTTTCTTAGAAGTCATTGAACTAGTCTTATCTACCAATGTACTTTTCAAGCTTGTTGCATTTAGATACTATTTGAAATTCAATTTTTTTGTTAGTTTTAAGCAGTTTACTTCTAAAATCCTTCATAATCTTTACAATATAATACTTGTATGTAGATTAAATTAGATACATCTCATAATAAAATCCTTAATTGCAATATTATTTAATGACAAATTACTGAAAAAAATGTTTGCATTATTTTTTATAGGCTATATCAGGGATTTCTAAATCAGTGCCCGCGGGTACTTTAGTAACACGGAAAGTTACCCTCTCCATTCCTATTTTTACCTATTTTGTATTGACCACTACATAAAACTTTTCATCCCCAATCTGAGGCAGCTCCTTCAGTAGAAATAGTGGGGAAACCGCTGATCGCGAGTTATTAGCATGAGGGGAGCATATCACTAACAGTTCGACACCTCTATTGTTGATTATTAATGTGAATCAGGCCGTAGACTGTGATATGGTATTTAATCTAGCTGTACGATGTCCGTGTATAAAGTTATGTATCGTTAATATGTTACCATAGTGGTTATTATGCCAATTATAATTTAGTTTAAAAGAACTATTTAACATCAAGTTTGGTTTTTATGATGGACTTTATTAAAGTGAAGAATTGTTATTAGCAACGCGCATTCAATTTATACAATTGATGATCAATCAATGTGATAGACCGCCACATGTGGAGAATATCCTCCGAACGCCCTACTACGAATCTTAAGTCTGTGACCCTACTTATTTACATGATTTTTTACAGTCGGTAATTCAGAACATGTGACACAAAATCTTGTAAACAACGATGTCTATTTGCATAGGTACCTCGTCTGAGATAGTAATTTGAATTGTAACCTTCAAATTATTTTTTCATATATAACTGAAGAATAATATTTTTATAACATATAATACTGAAAACGATTGAGCAATGTAAGAAATTCTTTACTAAACATATACAATGAATTTACTCGTAATATCAACTGTAAGTTGTGTTTTGGAGTACATTTTTCCGATATTAGTTAAATACGTACGTATATATATATATACATATATATATATTCATACTTTAGGAAATTAACTCAATTTTTAAGGAATTATTATTTTTATCATAGATCACAACACGTTTGTACACGGAAACAAAACATGACTTGGAAGCACGCAAAGAATTGGTTAACCTAAAGCAGGAAATGATTGAATTGTCTATAGTTGATGAATTTTCAAAATATGCAAAACTTCAACGTAAATATAATAAAATTGAAGGCAGTTTAAAAGAAACAGGTAAAAATATTATATAACGAATATTTGTTATAAGAAACTATGCAATTTGCAATGAATTCATTGATTTCCTAAATTAATTAAATGAAAACACAAATCATATAATTTTTCACTTCATAAATTAATTTCATAGCCTTTTCTTCTGAAGTAATTTGTACAATATTTCTATATAATTATTGTATATATATTTTAGTAAACATGCGTCTATCTTATCGAATAAGAATGCAGTTGTTTGCAACATATGGTTTCCGTGTATTAAATGTAGGTATTTAGCACTCCTATTAATTTTTTAAATTACACTGATACTAATAATTTAATCATTATATATTTTTTAGGGTTTTTTGGTACTGGGTTTGTTATATTTTTACAAAAATACACCAGTAATAGTTTTTCCAAAAGGTATATTATGGCCAGTACAAAATTTACTAAGTTGGCCATGTTATAGCCAAGAAGATTCAATTTCTTTAATTATGTGGATTATAATTGGTAGACTAGTTGTATCTGCATGTAAAAAGTAAATATAATTTAATATTAATAATTTATGTAAATTATTTGTATACATCAAAAGTGAAGTTTGTTTGGATAATTTTCAATGAATCTATAAACTCTTTTAAATTCTTTATGAAATTACTTTTAATGGACAAAATATGGAAATAGTCACATACTAAGTGTTGCTTAAGATATGGTCTCCGGGATAGCAAAGATGGCAAGAAGAGTCTCTAGCTATATGTTTATAGTGTTGATTCATTTGATTTTGCAAATTGATATCGTGAATGAAATGAAGACAGTTTCATCTGTTATAGTTTTCGTACTGACTAATTAGGTCCTTGTTCTTTCTAGGGACTACCTTTTAAGCAATTCAGAGTACTTGCTGTACATATTGCATTTTCTTTTTAATATTTAAAAGCAACTTATTAGTTGTAAGTCATTCTTCTAAATAAGGATAATAACGAATTTTTTTAATATAATAGCAAAAAAGTGACTGTATTTCGTAAAAGCTTGATTAAAATACATAATACATAATAGTGAAATATATTTGCATGTAATTATTGATAAGTAATAATTTTATATTTTAACAAAACATTTCTATATATGACAATTGATACATCTATATTTTTCTACATAACGTAGCAAACAATGTTTTATTCACGTGTAGAGTATCGATGAAACATCTATTTTATAAAGCTTAAAAAAAACTGATAATTTTGGTTGTTAATTTATTATCTTATGTAAATATTATCTTACTGTTTAATTTAGCTTCTGTTATATCAGTTTTGCATTTTTTTCGTTAATTTCTTTA